TTTTTTTTTTTTTTTTTTTTTTAATCCACAAAAAGGAGATGCTCATAGGGCATCTTCAACTTGAAGAGGTTACTTCAACTTTCGTTTCCTGGTTGCTGCAGTTACTTACTGTTCACAAGTTATGCAGCTATTGTTAAGAAGGCACTTTTTCAGGTTGTACTTTTCTAAATTAAGATAGTTCAATATTTGACCCAACATAGTCTAAGAGGACTACTAATTGTTTCCAGTTCCTGTTTTGTCATAACTAGCTATGTGACGTTGGGCAAGTCATTTTATCTCTGAGTTTCCTTCTTTGCCATTTGTGTCACTGTTTGGTATTGTGTTAAAGTGCTTAGATTAAAATCTGAGAAAGTGACAGCAGTTAATATCAACCCATTCTCATTGGATAAATACCAGTGATAATTCTTTATAGGATTAAAAATTAGAATTCGTATGTAAAACGAACTATTACTGCCCGGCCACCATGGTTCAGTGGCTGAGAGGACGTCACGATTGGATTCCGGTCAGGGCACATGCTTGGTTGCAGGCTAGATCCCCAGTAGGGGACGTGCAGGAGGCAGCCGATCAATGACTCTCATCATTGATGTTTCTCTCCCTTCCTCTCTCTGAAACCAATAAAAACTTTTTTTAAAATCATTTTAAAAAATGAACTATTAGTGGTTCAAAAGTCTTAAATACTTTTACTTTTTAGGTTCTTTCAAAGCTAATGAGCAAAATGTGTTGGAGTATTTCTTCCTCAGTAGAACTACTGAGAATATAGGGTTCATGTTTGTGAGACTTGAAAAAAGGTAACAGCCAGATTAACATTCATTGGAGTGAATCACAGCTGATTGGTAACCTGAGAATAGGAATTTCATTAAGGTAATTCTGCAAAAAAAATTTTTTCTAACCAGGTTTCACAATCTTATTTTTCTATTGTGGCAAATAAGTTTATATAAATATGTATATTTGCCTAAATGTACTTATATTTTGTGCATATATTTATAACTTTAAAACATATATTTTGTAGTGGTTGTTCTCCCAAGAAAGAGGACCATAAGGAAATCAGGGACTAAATCTGTCCAGAAGAAGAAAAAAACTGTAAGACAAGTATATATGGATTTTTAATAAAACCAAAATGTTCCAAAAATAGCTCCAATAAGAAGAAAGTAACCAAAACTGGTTTGGAAAGTAGTATGATCTTAAACTGGTAACAGGAAAGCACTGCCACTTAAAAATAATCATTTTGACGACAGTTTTGTAAATTTGGTCATTTGTTTTTAGTAATTTATAATCCTTGCTTTTATGCAGTAAATATTGAAAATAGTGAAATTTGCCATGAAGGATTTTATATCATACTATGCATTTCTCAAGTATGAATTAGAACCTTATATTGAAATAACATTTTCCCTTGCAGTCTCACACCATTTTACTGGTACAGCCTACGAAGAGGCCCGAAGGCAGAACTTATGCTGACTATGAATCAGTGAATGAATGCATGGAAGGTGAGTTTAAACACTAGTCAAGGGGTAGAAATCTTTTTTTCCTGGCATTCACTATTAGAATATATCTCATTTAGGAACTGGGTTTGTTTTTTCCTTCAGATTTCTTGGATTCTTCATTTGAGCAAAGGAAGTAGATATTTAGGAATGGTGTTAGAAAATAAAAATCAGAGAATAAAGGCAAATGGAACCAAATTAGTATAATTGTTGTGCATTTGATAAGCTTACACCATCCTGAAAAGAACCATTGGCTCTTAGTGAACTATTAGATGAGAGCACATAGATTAGATCATCACTAATTGCATTCATTCTTATTTTTAATCATTACATCACTTAAGCCAGTTGTGTATGCCTTGCATCCTTCCTAACAAATTGCCCATTCTTTTCCTATAAAGATTTTATAGTCACTGTTTTTGCTGCTGCTGGGTTGCTAGGCATGTCCTGAATTTGTTGCTATCCAAAGCTAACTGGATTCTACTTAAAATCTGTTCATTGGGGTCCAACAATGGATAGACCTATGGGGGAAAAGCTGCTTATAATAATTAGAGACAGCTTCTAGGTAGCTGGCACCATGCCTTTTGCCAGTTTTTTAATTGAGTTTTCTTTTCAATATGTTTTTATTGGTCTTTTAGAGAGGAAGAGAAAGGGACAGAGAAATAGAAACATCAGTGAGAAAGAGACATTGAACACTGGCTGCCTCCTGCACGATTGAGCCTGCAACCCAGGCATGTGCCCTGACCGGAAATCTAACCTGTGACCTCTTGGCTCATGAGCCATACCAGCCAAGCGAGTTGTTTTCTTTTTGTTGAGTTTTAGGAGTCCTTTGTATATTTTGGATAACAGTTCTTTATCAGATATATTTATTGAAAGGTTTTCTTTTTTAAATTTGTTGTTGAAAGTTTTACAGATGTCCTGCCACCACCACCCCCATTGACACCCTCCCCTCCTGCCCCCTCTCCAGGCTTTCATCATACTATTGTCTGTGTCCATGGGTTATGCATATATGCATATAAGTTCTTTGGTTAATCTCTTACCTGAGGCCCCCCACCCACCCAATACATCAGTCTGTTGCATGCTTCAATGTCTCTGGATCTGTTTTGTTCACCAGTGTATAGTGTCTTAGAAGCACCAAAGGTTTAAATTTTGATGAACTCCAATTTATATATTTTTTTCTTGTTACTTGTGGTTTTGCTATCATAGCTAAGAAGCCATTGCCTTACTCAGTCATGAGGATTCTTGCAAAGGTTTTATAGTTTTGGCTGTTACATTTAGGTGTCTGAGCCATTTGGAGTGAATATTTATATATGCTGTGAGATATGAGCCCAACTTCATTCTTTTGTATGTGAACATACAGTTGTCCCAGCACCTTTTGTTGAAAAGGCATTCTTTCTCCATTGAATTATCTTGGTATCCTTGTCAAAAAGCAGTTGACCATAAGTATATGGGTTTATTTGTGAACTCTTGTTTCTATTCCATTGATCTCTATGCCTGTCTTTATGCATAAGTATTACCATGCTGTCTTGATTACTGTAGTTTTATAGTAAGTTTAGGAATCAGGAAGTTTGAGTCTTCCAACTTTGTTCTTGGAACAAATTGTTTTGGCTATCCTGAGTCCCTTTTATTTCCTATCAAACTTAGCATCAGCTTGTCTATTTCTACAAAAATAGCTAGACTTTTGATAGGGGTTGCATTGAAGCTATAGATCATTTTGGGGAGTATTACCATCATAATATTCATTAAGTCTCTCAATCCCTGAGCACAAGATACTGTTCCATTTATTTAAATCTTTACTTTCAATGACAGTTTGTAGTTCTTGTTGTATGTTTTGTTTCTTTTATTAAATTCATTTTTAAGAGTTTCATTTTTTATACTATTATACATGAAACTTTCCTTTAAAAAAAATTTGTTGATTTTTTTTATTATTTAATTTTTTTTTAGAGAGGAGCGGGGGTTGGGGAGAAACATCCATTTGTTGTTCCATTTATTTATGCATTCATTGGCTAATTCTTGTATATGCCCTTACTGGGGATTGAACCCACAACCTTGGTGTATGGGGACGACATTCTAACCAACTGAGCTACCCGGCTAGGGCCTGGAGCTATTTTCTTTTCAGATTGTTTATTGTTGGATATAGAAATACAATTGATTTTTGTGTATTGATCTTACAAAAGGTCCTTCAATTTTGCTGCATTCATTAGTTCTAATAGGTTTGTGTGTGT